GCAGAAGTACAACACATCCCATTGAGATTTGACAAAAGAAGCGGAATTTGGAACCTAAATGCAGGCATAGTCGAAGAATTGCCAGCAGATTTAATCCTAGGAACAAACTTCATGTTAGAATATAACGCAGTAGTGGACATGAAAGGAAGACAATTTGCTCTACAGAACGAAATGACAGGACAGTTAACGATAGTACCTTTGACGACCTATGGCAATATACACTATAATCCAACTCAAGTTAATGTCATAACCCTGATGGAAGTTGATGAACCAAACGCAATGCAAATAGATCCACCAGACGACCATCCTGATTGGCAATGCGAAAAAGGACCTAAAAGTTATAAGTGCATAAGAGGTTACCCTCCAGAGGATAATGTGCCACCATGTGAGAAGTGTAGACTGAAACTTAGAGAAGATGATGAATGGTTGGCAGCAAGTTCAGCATTTAATCAAGAAAAAGAGGCATGGCACACAAATAGTTGGGATAAACTTCGTAAGAAAAGGGAAAGTGATGAAAAGATCGATGAAGCTTATGAATTGTTTCCTAAAGGTGCCACGTTGAAGCCAAATGGACAAGTGGTTGTGAAGAATATGGCCATTGGTGAAGTAGGAATGGATTGGACCAAGTATCATCCAGAATGGCGACCAAAGAAGGAGAAAAGGAAGGACATTCTCTACTACCATAGAACTGCCCAATGGAAAGGAATGTTTGTCGACACACCCGAGGTAGTGGCAAGGATTCACGCCCAGCAAGAGGAATTACAAGAAATTAAAAGGCAGTACCAGGAATCCCAGAAGCAAGAAGCACAGAAAACAAATACTTACCAGGTTGATGTACCTTATGTTGTGCATTATCAGAAGATGCGAAAAGTTACCTGCAAAATTGAAGATGAAGGATGTCAGATTGGTGATGACTATGTTGAATGGAAGGATATACGGAAATTTCAGCAAGATTTCACCCGAAGACCAAAATACCAACAGAAGCCTTATCATTACAAAGGACCCGACACGCAGTGTTGGTGTGGAGAACGTATGGAATCACCAAAAGAACATTGTAGCATTTGTGTTTGGAAAATACAGACATGCAGAACTATTACGCTCTTACCTGACGAAGTACTCATGAAGCTAGAAAAAGAGGAAAAGATTAAGCCTAAACAGTGATTGAAGCCTATAATCCAAATCAATGTGGCTTACCCAAAGAAGTGGGAAACCAGAGGAATCCTCCAAGCTAGAAAATGGACCCCAAAGGCAGAGCTTCCTACTCCAGTTCATCAGGGCTTTATCCTCTATTCGAATGAAGACATGTTAATATGTGGGCAAGAGTATGTTCCAACTGGTATTGAAATCAAAGTACCTGAAGGCATGTCTGCAATGGTTAGTTCATTGGACAACACAAGTAGCTACATCGTTCCTGCCACACTAATCCAAACGCACGGTCAGATTAAAGTCCCTGTAATCTCCACCTATGGTGCTCACATATCAGCAAAACAGCCCATAGCCAAACTTACCTTCCTACAAATTGCAGGAGCTCAACTAGTCGCAGCTGGACAACAGAAAGAATCTAAACCATCGCCATTCATGAAGAATTTGACACCTGATCAAGATGCCCAAGTGCAAGCCTTAGTGAAAGAATATGATGACATTTTTGCAGAAGATTTAATCGAACTCGGACAAACAACACATATTAAGCATCAAATTCCAACCCTACCTGGTGCAGTAGCATATTCAAAAAGGTATCGACAATCCTGGGAAAATGAAGACTTTATTACAGCTGAAGTAGAACGAATGTTAAAGGCAGGAATTATAGAACG